CTGGCGTGTCACTATGTGGTTGGACAATTTGAAATTTGGCGCGTTGGATACCACTCAGCGTTGCTTTGCCTTATGTTATTCGCTTGCCAATTTCTATACAACGCGCGCGAACAGCTCACTTGGCAAAGGATGTACTTGGTAAACGTTGGGACCTGGGTTCGATTCCCAGGTCCCCTTTGCATATTTCATATTTTTTCTTTAAGCTGTTCCTACGCAGCGTGTCCTTCAGTGACCCACCATACACTCTCATCAATGGCTTGCCAAGTGGCCATGAGCGTCCATCCAGTGGCCAAGAACTAAAGTCCATGGAATACCCCAGTCAACGCGTACGCATATGATCTGAAAAGTCAGCATGAGTCAAGCTTCTATTGGGCCAAGCTACTTCAGTCATACCTCCAATTTGGGTCAACCACCCCCCATGTTTGCATTTTTCTCTCTTTTTGTGCTTTCTTTTATTTATTTTAAATATGTTAATTATTTTCTTTTAATTCACCCAATTAATTTTAATAACATAAAAATACAAAAAAATCAGAAAATCAAAAATAAAATATATTTATTATTTAATTCACTAAATATTTTATTTTGTAAATAAACTTAATAATCAATTTAGTTTTAATTTTAAGTTTTTAACTTTAATGCTTTTTCTTAGATAATTAAAAAAATATAAAAACAAGTCTTTTAGCATTTTATTCTTTTTCTTAATAAATAATCTTTTTTTTTTATCACTATTAATTATTAATTATTTTTGTAAATAACTTATAATTAAATAATTAGTAAATTAGGTCAAACTTGAATTTATTTCTTTAATAATTAAAAATGCTTAGAATTAGGGTTTTAATTCTAATTAATTTTCTTCATTTCTATTAAATACAAAAATATCAAAAAATAAGTTCTTTTCTTTATTTAATTTAATTAAATTTAATAATTTCAATTCAATTCCTTAAAGGGTCCAACGCCCTCGCATTCGATTCTAATTTCTTTTCGCATTTATTTTTATTTCTTTTTTTAATCTAGTGTATTTGCCCCTAAGCCTTGTAATAGATAATTAGGATATTTACTTTCCACATTTTATTTGTTCAAATCGGGTCTTGGTTTAATTTGGCGATGTAGACCCGCGTCTTGTAATAGCGTAGGACTTTTATTTTCTGCATTTTGATTCCCGCACCTTTTAACTGCTAACTATCCCATGAAAGAATGTATGCTCAAATAAAATCAAAGCTTAGAACACTCAATGCATGACAAGACAAATTATAACTGAAAATGACACACAATTCACACACCACTCCTAGGGTACGCCTCACTATTGCCTTGCCCCTCGAAACGTGGTCGTCAAGTAGAGGACGTTTTAGTAAGTCCTCATGTCCATGAACATGGCATGGGGGTAGCTTCTAAGGTATCCTCCTATTACTCTGGTGACCACACTGTCCCTAATCCTCGAATTGACCCGAACACCTCCAACGGTGGTGCTACCTACCTCTCAATGGTGGGATGGCACTACCTTAAGGACATTTACACAGACTAATTCCTTAGGGTAGGTAGATGACTCGTAGATACTTGCTCTAATTCAAAACAAATCAAAAACTTCTTTTCACACCGACACTTTGCAAAAAGCTTTCAAAAACAACTTTTCAAACACTCTTGAGGACTGATACAAGAGTCGAACTGAATTTTAAACGAAATTTTTTCAAACTCACTCACAATTGAAAAGCAAACAAACATTTTGAAAACACAAATGAGCAAGTATCTAAGAGCCCATGGATAACCATGGATAGAAAGGGTGCTAACACCTTCCCTTTCTATAAATCTACCTCCCGAACCGAGAACTAATCTCAATAAGGAATTTTTCTGTGCTTTTGTCCTTTCCATATTGGAGAAAATAAAAGACGGTGGCGACTCTTGCTTCCGTTTCATTTCGCGATCCAGCGTTAAACAGTCAGTTCCAGATCCACCGATCACACCTACCAATAATTTCAAGGTTCAAGAGATTATTCGCCAATGCAGATGACACAAAGAATCTTAGATGGCATGCAGAAGAAAGAAAATATGATGGACAAATTCGTCATGTAGCTGATTATTTGCAATGGAAGAAAATAGATTCTTTGTTTCCAAATTTTGGTAAAGAGTCGAGAAACCTTAGACTTGGACTTTCTACTGATGGAATGAATCCGTTCGGTAATCTGAGTACTAACCATAGTTCTTGGCCTGTTCTCTTGATGATTTACAACCTATCTCCTAGGCTGTGCATGAAGCGTAAATATATTATGTTATCGATGATGATATCGGGCCCAAAACAACCAGGAAATGACATAGACGTTTATCTAAGTCCACTGATTGATGATTTAAGAGTGCTGTGGGAGGAAGGGGTGGATGTTTTTGATGCGTATTCTGGAGAACAGTTCAATATGCGTGCCATGTTGTTTTGCACCATCAATGATTTTCCGGCATATGGTAATTTGTCTGGGTATAAAGTTAAAGGGCATAATGCGTGTCCTATATGTGAAAAAGACACTTGTTACCATCAACTTGAAAAAGGAAAGAAGATTGTTTATCTCGGGCATCGAAAATTTCTAAAACATTATCATCCATATCGTAGATTGCGGAAAGCTTTCAATGGGGAACAAGAGCATGGTGTTGCTCCAAAGCCCTTGTCTGGAGAGGAAGTTTATCAGCGACAATAGGGACTTGATGTTATCTTTGGAAAGTACCAAAAACGATCTACTGTGAAAAATGTATGGAAAAAGAGATCGATTTTCTTCGATCTTCCATATTGGTCTAGTCTTGATGTAAGACATTGTATTGATGTGATGCATGTGGAGAAAAATGTATGCGATAGTGTAATCGGAACACTTCTCAACGTTCAAGGAAAAACAAAAGATGGTATTAATGCTCGTCTGGATTTGGGTTTGATGGGTATACGAGAAGAGTTAACCCCACAATATATAGGTAACAAGACATATTTGCCTCCTGCCTGCTACACTTTGTCTAAAAAAGAGAAAACAAGTTTTTGTGAGTGTTTACAAAGTATCAAAGTGTCGCATGGTTACTCATCAAATGTCAAGAGGCTTGTATCAGTTAAAGATTTTAAATTAGTTGGCTTAAAATCTCATGACTGTCATGTCTTAATGCAACAACTACTACCATTGGCTATTCGTGGGATATTGCCTAACAACGTAAGGAAGACCATAACTAGGTTATGCTTATTTTTCAATGCAATTTGTTGTAAAACCATTGATCCACTAAAGTTAGACGATTTGGAAAATGAGGCTGCAGTTATCTTGTGCCAATTAGAGATGTATTTTCCTCCTTCATTTTTTGACATTATGGTTCACTTGATTGTTCATCTAGTAAGGGAGATTAGATTATGTGGTCCAGTTTTTTTACGGTGGATGTATCCAATAGAGCGATACATGAAGATTATAAAAGGGTATACAAAAAACCCACACCGTCCGGAAGCATCAATTATTGAGAGGTACATTGCAGAAGAAGCAATTGAGTTTTGTTCTAACTATTTGTCAGGAGTGGATGTTGTAGGGGTTCCCAAGTCTCGTCATGATGGAAGATATGAGGGTGTGGGTACACAAGGTTTAAAAGTAAAGAGCTTAAGTATTGATGTGGTTGTTCAAGCGCATTTGTATATATTGAATAACATAGATGAAGTTCAACCTTACTTATCTGCTCACAAAAGCATCGTAAAGAAAAAGTACCCCAAGATGAATGAAAGAGGGTTGTTAAAAGAGCATAATAAGAGTTTCTCTGAGTGGTTTAAAGAAAGAATTGCTAATGAAGATAGTGTTTCTAATACAATTAAGTGGTTGTCTTATGGGCCTAAATGTAACATAATAACTTGGAGTGGATATGATATTAATAAAACCTCTTTTTATACAAAGTCAAAGGATGACCGTAGTACCACGCAAAATAGTGGGGTAATGATTGTGGCCGAGTCCATGCACTTCTCTAGTGCTAAAGATAAAAACCCGGTTATGGCATCTACACCGTACTTTGGGGTGATTGAAGAGATTTGGGAAGTTAATTATGTTGTGTTTAAAGTTCCTGTATTTAAATGCAAATGGATTGATATCAACAGTGGTGTCATAATTGATGAATTTGGAGTTACACTGGTTGATCTTAGCAAGTTAGCTTATGCAAACGAACCATTCATCACGGCATCTCAAGCAAAACAAGTGTTTTATGTCACAGATCCTTCTAATAAAAAGTGGTCAGTGGTTTTACAAGGAAAGGTCCATGATAGTGACGAAAATCATGATGAGAATCTTGATATTTTTGAAACTCATCCTTTCTCAACAAATGTGACTACATTCATTGAAGAAAATGAAGGGGATGATGTGCATGCTATTCGCATAGACCATGAAGAAGGGATATGGGAGGACTAGTAAGATTTTTTGTATAAGTTAATTCCACGTTACTTTATTTTCTAATTGTTTTTATTTTGTGCTTAATTTTATTTCTAATTGTTTTTATTTTGTGCTTAATATTATTTCTAATTATTTTTTTTTGTGTAAACAGATACATGGGTGATTCAAACCCCAATAAAAGAAGAGTTAGAGGTCCCACTTTAATGACACAAATTGACAAAGTTCATCAAACAGGTGAAAAGATAAAGGTCGAGTTTAATGCAAGAACCTATGAATGTATTGGTGTTGGTAAAAATGCTACACATTTCAAGAGTTATATAGCATCTCTTGCTCGACAGTATTGTAGCATTGTGAAAAATGATTGGAAAGAAGTAGATGAAGGCGTAAAAGATGCTATTTGGACTGATATTCAGGTATTTTAAATACAATACTTTATTATATTTTATAATCATATACTAATTAACAACATATGACATATACTACATTTGTAGGCTCATTTTACTATTCCAGAATGTAAATATCCAAAGAAGGATAGGTTGAAGAAAGAATGGATTAAATATGCGGGAGAGCGATTGAGAGGTTTTAAGACACAACTCACAGATAGATATATTCATCATCCCATAGAAAATGATCCTCCTCCATATGTCAAGTATAACTTTATTACAGAAGACGCCTGAAAAGAGTTTCTCAAGATTCGAGATACCCCTGAATTTAAGGTTAGTAGGAGTTATATGTTTTTGTGTGCATAACATTTTTATTATATTTAGTGATTAATTACTTGTTTGAGTTTATAATAGGAAAAAAGTCAGAAGGGTAAGGATAATGTGGCCAAGAATTTATACCCACATGTATTGTCTCGTGGAGGGTATCGCTTACTTGAGGAGAAAATTATGAAAGAAAAGTCATCATCGAGAGATAATTCCACATTAGATGATAATGATAGTCCATCTCCACCATCACGCCATGAGTTATGAAAGAGAGCACGACAAAAGAAAGGAGGAGAATACACATCAAAATCTACACAAGAGGTTGCTGAAAAAATTGTAAGTAAACAACGAAAAATTATTACAAAGTATCATTATATTTGTGATTGATTAATTGATGTTTTTGCATTTTGTAGGATTCTCTTGTTCAAGAAGCTGAAAAAGGTGCAATTGTTCCAGATGGACGTAACGATATCTTATCATTAGCCATTGGAACATCTGAGCATGGAGGTCGTGTTCGTGGTGTTGGAAAACACCATAAACAAAGCACTTTCTTTGGAAGAAAAAGTCAACATATCGACGTAAATGAACAACTTGCAATATTGGAAACAAAACTTAGAGCTGAACTTGAAGAAAAGTTGGTTGAAGAGCGTAAGATGTTTCAACAATCATTAATGGAGACACTTAAGTCTATGGGTTTATCACAAAGCACATGTGATATTAAATGCATTCAAAAATTGGAAATTATCGATGGAAGCGGAAAAGGAAGTTGTTCAGCTGCAAAGGGAAGCACAAAAGAGAGCACAAAAGACGTGGAAGTTGATGATGTTCAGAGATTATTACTCATGGTTTTGAAATTGGATGATAACCATTTGGCAATACAATTAAGTCATTGTGCGAGTGTCTCTAATTTTTATGTTTCAGCTAAATGTATCAGAGAGTTATTGGTGGGTTTAGGTCATTGGCTTGACGTGTCTATTCTTCAAATTTGGTGCACGTAAGTACATTTTATTGTTTTATTAAAGTCAATCTCTATTAATATGTTATATCTCTCATCACTTTGATTCTAATGTTAATTTTAAAATTATTCAGGTATATTCATCGTGTTTGTCTTGAGAATTCCATTTCAGAATTATATGGATTTATGGACCCTGCTAGGTGTATTTATAATGATAATGTAGCGAAATCTCAAGAAGATGTTAAAAATTACGTGCTAGAAAAGTTACGTGATGAAAACAGAGCGTGCCACTTACTACCATTAATTCATGGGTAAGAATTTTTATGAAATTGTGTTTTATATTATTTAATTTTGATAACATATATATTTTATGCGACTTTTCTGTTTCCACACACACGTACAAGAGACATTGGCAATTAATAGTCATGTGTCCAAGAGACAATTTAGTTGTCGTATTTTGTTCACTTCATCGGGAAATTGACCAGAACACGAAGAAAATTATTACAAAGTAAGTTTATCTTTCATGTGACTTTCATTGACAACTAATAGTTATGTGATTTTTCATTGGCGAGTATATTTAGTTATGTGATGTTTATATCTTTCTGTATTAGTTCTTTTGGGATTCATCAAATGGCAAATGGAAATAGAAAAAAGGCTACATGGCTTCATCCCAATGTAAGTGTGATGTAAATTGTAATTCTATAGTTAAATTTATGATAAATATTCACTAATTATGTCATTCAATTGTAGACAAGGCAACAACATAACTCTAATGATTGTGGATACTATGTGATGAAAAATATGTTGGATATTGTCTCTGCTAATATAACCGAGAATTGGATGCAGGTACTAAAAATAACTTTACTTTGTTCTTTACTTTTTGTTTTTCGACTTAATATGAATTTTTTAAAAAAACTCTATATTGTTATATTTATGTATTATAGGTATTTGATGACCCAACAGAATTAACACCAGATGATTTGTATGATTTGCGACTTCGTTGGGAAAAATGTTTCTTTGAGTTACATGGAACTTAAGTTTATCTTGGTGAGTTTTATAGAATTGTATAAGTTGTGGTTTTTGCACAATACATGTGGTTTTTGCTCATGTGTTGAGTTTCTTGATTTTTTTTGCTGATGTTAATTGTTATTATTTATTGTCAGGCAATATGATTTTGGTGTTGTCTACCGAAGATTTTATATTGGTAATTCAAGTTTGGAAACTTAGAAATAGTTGAATATTTTTGTATATGTATATTTTGTGAATATTACGTAATTGTAAGTTTTGAAAAAAACTTATAAATAGTTGAATATTGTTTTATATTTTGTGAAGAATTTGTAATTGTAAGTTTGTATGTTGTAATACAATACAAGTTTGCAATACAATTGTTCAATTTGTAAGTTTGTTGTGAAAAATATGAAAACAGCGTCCTAAATGTGATATATGTGATGTTGGAAAGCTATGAAATCTATATAGCGACATAAATATTGTCTGTTTGATATTGGAAAAATATGAAAAAATTGGTACAAATTATATTTGTATAGGGAAACCCAAAAAATAAATAATCTATTCCAAAAAAATTTCATACATTTTACATCGGTTATTAGTAAAAACTGATGTAAAAACTTTCAAAAGGGGACTTTTTACATCGGTTGGGGATAATAACCGATGTAAAAAGTCGCGTCACTGGGGACTTTTTACATCGGGTATTACTTCCAACCGATGTAAAAAACTGGATCAATTTTTTTAAAAAATATGCATAATAACTGTTTCTTACATCGGTTCATATATTAAAACCGATGTAAAAAAGGGACTTTTTACATCAGGTATTACTTTCAACCAATGTAACAAACTGGATTAATTTTTAAAAAAATATGCATAATAACAGGTTATTACATCGGTTCTGATATTATAACCGATGTAAAAAAAGGGACTTTTTACATCGGTCCCAAAACCGATGTAAAAAGTCCCTGATTTACTATATCGCCTGACTTTACATCGGACCCAAAACCGATGTAAAAAGTCAATTTCACCCGATGTAAAAAGTCATTTCTGCACTAGTGATGGACGTTTTGGTTGTTGTCGACAGCTTGGTCAGCCATGATAATCACACAGTTTGATGAAGAGTTGCTTTGGTCTTGAGATGAAGACGTGGAAGCTTGTTTCACACACACTGATCATATCTGACCAGAAGGGATTGTCAAAGCCCACGAGCTTCGAGTTAAGCAGTACTTGAATGTGAAGTGGGAAGGGGGGAGTACCTGCAAGACACTCTGATGCCAAAGTGAGGTTCAGAGCAAATGCAAGCGAGTATGAGTATGAGAGTGAATGAACAAATACCTGACCCTCTCAAGTGAGAAGATATTTATAGCCCCCAATGTTGAGCCAAAGTCTTCAGTGATGGGCCACGATGAGGCCCAACAACGAAGACTGTCAGGGCTTACGTGTGTATGGAGTCCAGCATGTGGCCTCCTCCCTGGTCAACTGCCCCGAGAAACCAGAAGCTGAACCCGTTATTCTCGGAGGGCAGGATGATGATATGGACACGTGAGCTACGTTCCCCTAATGGACACGTGAGGAAATGCCCAATGGTCCTCAGTCTGAACTACATACTTTTAAGCCTTTAATAAAGACGCTGGATTGGACTTCCCCGATGATGGGGCAAGTGCCGACCTAATCCGAAACAAAAATTATCCTAAAAAAATCAAAAAAAAATTTAATGACGAAAAAAAAAACTATAAACCTAATTGCAGGAGGTATTGTGGTCACACCACACATCATATTCGCTCCTATAATAAGAAGTGCCCTCCAAAATGCAGAATGGTCACCTAGGTCAAATAAGTAATTTTTAAATTTATAAAAACTATATAAAGTTGATCACCTAGGTCAAATAAAAGAGAAGCATTATTAACAATTTTTTTATAAAACAAACTAGAAGATAAAGATAAAGACGGATGGTCTTAAAAATAAAAAAATAAAAAAGCAAAACACTAAAAATAAAGAACAATCCAATGAGATAACGCCGTGACGAAACCAAACCCACGTGGCAGGTAAGATTATCAAACCCTAAGAAGAATCTTCTTCGCTAGTTTACTTGGAAAGGAGGAAAACAGTGTGAATGAGTTCGCACGGTGCGCTACCAAATCGCCACCCTTAAAAACCCCACCGACCTATTCATTTTCTCTCTCTCAGGCGTCGTTTTATTGAACTTTTCCTCGCCGCCTCGTTTTCAGTTAGGGTTTCTCGTTTCTCGTTCCTATTCATAAACCTCATCTGAAACCTTGAATTTCCAATATAGATGGAAAAAAAAGCAATAATTGAATAAAATTAGAGGAGGAGGTAAACAAATCGGTGCTTGTTTATTGTGTTTTCGATTTTATTTTCATGATTATCGGTTCAGATTTGAATAATCAGTCGTTATTATGATATTCTCGAGTTTTGAATTTTTTTATCTGTTGACTTCTCGATTGGAACTTGGATTTTTGTAGATCGGCGTTGGTTTTAATTGTTCGGAGTTTTTCGTATCGATTTTCGTGTTTTCTGTTGTTTTTTTAGGCTTAATTCATCGCTGGAAGTGAATTGTTAGGTTTTTATTTTCCAATTTTTGTTTTTGCTGCGTTGATCTGTATATTTGTTGATCTACAAGATTTGGTTGTTGATATATATTGTTTTTTATTTCATGATCAGGATATTAGGTGTTTCAGAGAAAAGGATGTACAGTATGAACTGCAACAGCAGTGCTTGGTATGCATAATTTTTTTAATTATGCTTATAGTTATTGATATAAGAATTTCTTGTTTTAGTTTGTTTGTTATGCTTGATTGTGTGTATGTTTGATTTAGCTTTTAGGAAGAGTCAAAAGCATTTCTAATTCATTCTAAGGGTGTAAAATTGATTTTGAAATGATTTTGAGGTGTTTGGTTCTTCTAAAATAAAATTGATTTTGCCTCCAGAATTGATTCTACTTGAAGCTATAATTTGTAGCTTTTGAGTTTAAACATGGTTTTTACATTGAAATTTACTGTTCAACTTAATTTGCATTAAGTTATCCAAATATAAATCACTTCACTTTTAACTGAATCAATTTTAACCGAATCAATTTTATAAAATCAATTTTTTTCACTGTAGAACCAAACATGTTCTTACTCTTTTGGATTTAAGAGCTTTGCTCCTTTCGTGGATGGAGACTTTGATGATGTCTAGAGTTTAGACTAAAAGAATTCCTCAAGGCTGTTTTGTATGGCCATTGTTGAAACTAGTTTTGCTTGCTAACTAACGTTATGGGTGCAGGGAGAATAGGCTAAAATCTATTCATCACACGTTCTCTTTACTCTGTTTTAATTTTTAGATTGATCGGACTAATAGGATGTGTTAGTTTTTGTCTTTCTCTTCTCTGTCTTATTTTATGTTTATGCTCATTGCATATATTTAAAACTATTTGATTCTTTGTCAAGCAACAAATTTTTTAAAACTACAATAAGTTTTTTAAAAATATAGGTAAGTATTGACAATATGATTTGTAGCAATAAATTTTAAATTTGTGTGTTTGATCATTAATATAATATGGAAGTGATCAACTGTTGATAGTTGATGTAATTTCAAACAATCATGTGATATAATTTCTAACAATTAAAAGATTGAGGCGGGTTAGTCTGTTGGTTCTATATCATTAAGCTTCCGTATGTCTCCTTTTATGGCAGCACACTTGGTGGTATACTATAATCTATGGACAGAAATGGATACATTTTCTTTGCCATTAATATTTTTCGTATCTTTCTTTGAGATAGTATTTTTGCAAATTTCACCTGAAAGCCGAAGGGTTTTAGATTGATTGTTTTGTCACATGGAATTCTTTTATTGATTAATTTATTATGTATCTTGTCAGCTGTTTAATGACGTGTACATGATCCTATACATTAATTCCATAATCTCAATTTTATATATGTAGGGAGTTCCAAATATTCTTGATGTCATGGTCCTCACCCTCACCGGCACTGTTTATTTAAAACTGCCCAAGGCCTAGAATTTTGTTTGGCTGCTGCATCTGAGCTTTTATATTTGAACGTGTTTAAAGATATTGATCTAGTAGATAAAAATGGAAGCAAACAACGAGAAGGCATTGGATAGGGCTGTGCTCAATCTGAAGCGAAAACGTGCTTCTCGATATGCTACATGTCCAAATGGAGCTCTGCGGTCAGTGTTACCTCAATGGACATCACTCATATCACCAAGAAACAAGATTGTCAAACGGATGAGATTGAACAGGTACAAAAGCAAGCCTACAAATTCAGAGACTTGCATGGGGCAGTCGTTAATTCGGTATTATATGAATTTTAAGAAGAGTGGACGCCCTGAACGCTTGATGGTCTATGAAAATGGTGGATGGAAGGACTTTCCTAGGGATGTTGTTGACTTGGTAAGGAAAGATTTTGATGTAAGGAAAGCAGTTGTAGAGGTTGAGTTAAGTGGCCATCATCTTGTGCTGAATTTCTTGCACATGTATCAGATGAATTTGAAATCTGGTTTGCAGCAACCTATTGCTTGGATTGATGAGAACGGGTGTTGCTTTTTTCCTGAAATTTATGCTGCATCTAATGAAGGGCCTTATGATCTCTGCAATCAGGGCGGTGGAAAAGGTCATGAATCATTCCTCCAAGATCCTAATGAAATTAAATTACATTTAGAAATTGAAATAAACGGAGTGGATGCTTCCCAGTTTGGGGAGTGCAGTGGGGAGTCCAATGTTTTTGTTAAACATATTCAAGTTGATGCTAAACAAGCCTGCAGTCAAAATGTTTTAGAAGTTGAAGATGGCAGTAATAAAATTGGAGATGGAAATGTTGGTGAACCCGTTGAGCGAAATAAAAATATAGGTTTTAATGCTTATAATGAAACTGTATATGAAAAGTTAGATTTGGAAACTGTACAGAATATGTTTCTTAAGGGAGCTAGTAGTTTTGGTAGTGCTGACATAGTTGAGATTTACCCCTTCTCGAGTACATTGATGCAATCACGATTGGAGCTGTTTGAGAAGCAAGCTGAAATTACGAAAAAATTCCGTGGGGATGCTAATGTTCAATATGCTTGGCTTGCTTCTTCTAAAGGAGAACTATCTACTATGATGACGTGCGGGCTTGGCCATTGTGGACTATCTGCATCTAAATGCACACATGGCATTGGTGTTCATCTTGCAGCTGCTACCTGTCCTTTTGCCAGGTTGATTTTCTAATCATCAAATTTATACAATAAAGTCTTTTAAATACTAATAATATTGATGAACTCCTTTTGCGAAGTTGATTTTCTAATCGTCAAGTTTAAACCATAAAGTTTTTTAAATACTAATAATATTGATGAAGTTATCCAAGGCTCAAATTTGTCTAGTTAAAGCAAGATGAATAGAAATGTAGAAGCTTTCTTCCCTTGAATTTTTGGCCAAGTATTTTTTGGTTTAAGGATGGAGTTCTAAGTACATATGGATGGAGTTCTAAATATATATATATATTGTTAATGTCAAATGTCAACATATATTTCCTTCAAAATTTTCCATAATATTAAAAATTTGATATTTTAATGCATTATAAATTATAAATTTGATAATTTTCTTACATGCTAAGAAGTTTCCCCCATATTTATTTATACATCAATGTCTTTTTTAATGTCTACTTTAGTACTTTGTTATGGTATCTTTTACACACTTCTGCTATAGATTATTCTGTTATAATGGATAGAAAAGGATTCAAGTTTCGCTTATTTACAGTGCTAATTACTGTGATGTTGACGAAAATGGGGTTCGGCACTTGGTCTTTTGCCGTGTAATAATGGGGAATATGGAGCTTGTCCGTCGTGGCACTAGACAGTTTCGTCCCAGTAGTAGTGACTATGATAGTGGGGTGGATGACATCCACAATCCAAGATACTATGTAGTATGGAACATGAACACGAACACCCACATCTATCCAGAATTTGTTGTTAGTTTCAAGTTCTCTTCTAATGCTGAAGGTGAAATATTGTTCCTTTAGTTTTTTTATGTTTTCTATTTCTTTACATTTTCTTAACAAAACTAAGACCCTATCCATTTTCATATTATAATATTAGTTTGGTATATGACTTAATGAGTTGATCAGAGGCTAACTGGTTTATATATGATTCGGTTCATTCCATTTGGATGGTGGGCTCCTTCGGACTGGGCACTTGAGCGCCCATATTTGACAGATCACTTCATGTCTGGTCAATGACATAGCCTCTGTTTCTGCTGCTAAGCTGTACGAGTGCCATTCCTTATGGGATCTTGTTTCTTTTTTTATCACTGATATATTCTGCATTTTTACAGGCCTTCTTTTGGGAAATGAGAAAAAAAATAATACTTTTGGGATTAATTCAGCTAGCCAAGGTCCTAAAATATTGTCAGGTTCAGAGTCTTCGACAGTAGACAACGTAAGTTCTTTGGTATTTTGAGCTAAACCTCCAATAATGGTTGTTAAAATCTAGTGCTAACTCGTAAAATCACCCGATTTTAAGATTTTAGGTGTAAATTTAAGTTAAACTCTGAAATCGGATAGAATTGAAATCAACTTTTGTTTTATAGTTAACTTTTAACAATTTTAGAAACTTTTGAAACTTATTTTTTTATTGTTTCTTTTGGGTGTTTTTTTGATTTGGTTACATAATTAATGTAATTTGATACAAGTTTTATGAGCTTGACACTATTATGGTGATTTGATATGTTCTTTACTAAATTAAGTTGAAATTTTTAAATATTGATGCATTTATAATATTATAAGTATATAAGTCATTTGTATATAATTGTCATAATATTTAACACGAGGTGAAGTCATTACCCCACATGAGTTTACAAGTCGGTTCCATCTAGGTAAAACGAGTTGACGTAAAAACTCGAGTTTGACAACTTTGTCTCCAATAACCTTGGCTCCATTGCTAAATTTCCTTTGTGATAGGCAATATCATTTTAAAATTTGACTACCATTTTACTTTATTTTCTTATTCTTTTACTTTGTTTTGATTAATCTCTTGAATAAGAAAATCAGTTATAGCTTCAATTTGATGCTTTTGTGGAAGAAATCACGTCTGGTTCGGAAAAAAGGACTGCCTATCTTTTATAGAAGGATTAAAGCCGTGATATGAAGATTTTTCTTGTCTAAAGTTTTCTGCTTGTTATAGCAGTGACTTACAGTGCAAGAAAAGTGCTGCAAAAATAAGATTTCGAGCTCAGATCAGGGTTTTGGAAGGAAAATAAATATTTAGATCATGAGACTGGGCATTAATTTTATTTCCTTATAATTGCGTTGGTAGGAGGAATGGCGGTGATAATAATGCGATACCTATGCGTCACTATGCCGGTGAAATAGTCTCGTCCGAAATCATATTACTCAACAACAACAACCGAGCCTTATCCCACTAAATGGGGTGGGCTACATGGATCAACTTTTGCCATAATGTTCTATCCATGACCATGTGTATCCAAATCATTTGACTTCTTTCCTTCTGATCTACAATTGATAGTTTTTAAAAAATAAATAAAAATTCTGAGATGAAGGTTTTCTTATTGACTACTGATTCATCTAGGTTTGGAAGTTTCAATTTATACAAATCTAGGATTCGGTCATATCAAAATTCACCAGTCCACAGCCAAATGCGTGTTAATGCTAAATGTGCAACACATTTAGGTTATTTAAGATCTTAAGTTTGCTTTTGGTTTGAAATATTCTAGTGTTGAGACTTGTCGGTAAAAAAAATGTCCAATCAACTTTTGGTTTGTGGGTTACCTCAGGGAATGGCAACTAGTTTACCTAAAGCTCCAACTTCCCCTTGGATGCCTTTTCCTGTGCTTTTTGCTGCCATCACAAACAAGGTTCCAGCTGAGGATATGGAACTTATCAAAGTGCATTATCTGCGCTTCAGGGTATGTAATATAAACTAGCTTTACCAGATTTGCTTTTCTGTCGTAATTGATATCTTTAATATAATTTATTATTGTTTTCTGATTAATTAATCATCAGTCAAAAGGGATAACTCGGGGTGATTTCGTGAAGAAGTTGAGGTTGATTGTGGGAGATGCTCTCTTACGAGATACACTAACTGTTCTTCAACGCAAGGTACTCTTCTCAAGGCTTTGCACGTTTTTTCTGATGTGATTTTTCCTATACTTTTTTCAAGGCAATACTTGCTGGTATACATTAGGCTGCTAGTTCCAACTTCCCCCCTCGTTCAATGATGGACTGTATTGAATGGTTTATCTGCTATGTGGTTATACCTATACCTCCTAATTTGTTTAAATGACTTCTTGCAGATACCATCCGAATCCGAATCATCTTGTGCGATCAAAATGGAATCCTGAGGCTACCTTAATATGTACGGAGGGTGACCTTTACACTTCAAACTTTGCCGACTTATCGTTGAACACTCGGAAGAGCCAAAATGATCATGAGATTGTTGCTAGCTCTTTTCTTTTGAATAGCTATCTACTTTTGAATTTTATTTTGATTGCATCCTTTTTTTTGACCCGGAACATACTTGTTAATTGAACTACATTTGAATCGTTTTTTAATCAGGATATCATATGCACGTTCCTGCACACTGCTTTAAACCTTTGTGGAATTTTATGATAAACTTGTATTTTGATTTTCCATTTTGATAAAACTGTATTTTGATATTCCATTTTGCATTAATTCTATTAACTTTTAACTTTATTAGGTGGATAATATTATCTGTCTACTAAAATAGTATTAATTATTTGATTAGTTTAACAAATTTTAGGGAAAAATACACTAACCTCTCTTGAGGTCTTTTTAAATGACACTGTATTAAACACTAACCTCCCCAAAAGTCTCTTAAAATAGATAAAAATCTCCCTTATCAATCAACACCATTAATTAATCCGTTAAATACTCTAATTTTACACTTAATCTCCCTTAAATCTCATAAATTGGATAAAAACCTTATTAACTTAATACTGTTTATTTATGTTTTTAAACTAAAAACTACTATTTTCAATAGATGAATATATTGGTATGGATTTAGCCCTTAACTTAGATTCTTTACTTAAAAGAGCCACAATGATATAATCAATAAGAGACTCTTTGCCACAAGAACAATTAAATTACATGAGATGATTTAATGGCCTTCTTTCTATTTTGCTCAGCTAAACTCGTGGATGGAAGGCAGCATACAGCCCCATCATCTTGAGGCCTCATCATTTCTTAGTATCCATTGAGGTTGTCAAAAGCATGTAGTTAAAACAGTATGTAAAACATACTCCACTGAATACAAGCTGCTCCTTTTTTAATTTCATAGATTCAACACGAACTTTGGTTCTTATGTGTGGCTTAAAAAAAACAGTACGCACAACTGAGCTGACACCATCATTTACTGTCGGTACATCTAATTGTATCATCCCACCATTTGTCCGTATTTAAATTACCGTTGCAATTGATCTTGTATAAGAACCAGTTCCATGATATTGATTTAATACACGTTATTGCCCGCTGCACATTCACTTCCTTTCCTCTGAATATCTGTGTTTCTCATATTCCACTGATATCAAATCGTGGCCAACTAAATTAGAGCTTTGGACTTCTTAATTCTCTTACCAGGCGAAAACGAAATCAATGAAGAAGACCAACGCTTTAGGTGTTGTTAGATGATGCTTCCATGATCATGAGAACATAGTGACAGGAATTATGATGATCAATTTTCCTTGAAGGAAAACTGAAATTTAGGGACACATGTGTTCGGACTCAACCATTACTTTTTATGTATTTCCTTCAATCTAAGAGTTAATTTTTAAATAAAAACAAAAACAGAGTGCGAAAATGAAAACAGATAAACATAATATTATGTTTTTAAATTTTGATAATTTATTAAATTTAATAATATGCAATCGATACTTAATATTTTTTACCAATCATAAATTAAAAAAATGAAAATTAATTTCTATTTTTTCAACAAATCATTTTCGAACACACCCTTGTTACCTTTTCTCATCAACCAAAACAATATAGGTAAAAGAGTAACAACATCAAAAATTTTCCTAGCCCTAAATCTAAGATACGGCAATCTAATTTTTATTAAATTAAAGCCAAAGCTAATTGTTATGAACACCCTCCCTATTGTGCCAACACGTAATGTTGAAATACTTAAATTGATATCGCAATACAGCTTTTTGCTTTCAATTGAATGAGGTAGTTAAATTAAACTAGTTACTAGTTAGATTGTTGTTATCCGTACTCACAAAATTGAAAATTTAGAGTTACATCTTATGATTAAAGCCTAGCTTACTGCGGTAGAGGAAAAATAACAACTCTACATCTAATCACACCATCAAATATAGTATTTAATGCAATCAATTGAGAACTAGCATAAGCAAACTTAGAGAAATTGAAAAAACATAAAAACCTGAAAAGTGTATTGGTCAACGTAGTATTTTGAATGAGGAAATTTGGAGAAAGGGTTAGGTTAGCAATAGCACGAAGTTTGGAGAAAATTTGATGTTATTGTAGTTTTGTTGTTGTTGTTGAGAAGTAGTTGTAAGTGTGTATTGGAAAAGGTGATGATTTGTTGGAAAAATAGTGCGATATTCACATCATTATATTCTCTGATGCTTCCATAACCAATTCCCAACACTCAATTATAAAATTGTTTTCTTTCTTCAATATCATACTTGAAGTGCCGTTTCAAAGTGTCATATTTTTTATTAACATTAGAATCTCACAAAAATCCCAAAGATATTATGGATTAATCATTACATGCGCATCTTCTTGTCTAATTTCTTTAGATATAACTAATAGAGTTTGTGGAAAGTCTCCACCTAAACAATTTTTTTCTCTAATAATAGTATTTGTTTTTTAAACTTCAAAAAAGGAAAACAACTCTTTTTAAAAAGTATATTAGTGAGATATCTTTGCTGTCATCTTTGTTTTTTAAACTTCAAAAAAGGAAAACAACTCTTTTTTAAAAGTATACTAGTAAGATATCTTTGCTTTCATCTGATAAATTTATTTGATATAATATAATATATATATATATATATATATATATATATATATATATATATATATATATATATATATATATATATATATATATATATATATTTGAAATTAGCTATTAATTTAAAAATAATAATGATTATATATAATCAACTGTATTAAAATATAAAGAGAAAAAAAAGAATTCGTGAGATGAAAGAAAAATAAATATTTAATATTTAAAAATAAAAATTTAATCTTTTAAATTAAAATAATTATTGATTAAAATAAAATATATAATGTGTTGATAGTGATCCGTGAAATAAATTTTTTTTTGGAAATTAATATATATATATATATATATATATATATATATATATATATATATATATATATATATAACAGTTCAGTACAAAGAGCGATGTAGAGAGTCTAGTCCACTACTCCTAAAAGACCAAAATTATAAACTCAGATGAGCCACATGCTCCCTGAGGTTCTTTTTCCTCCAACACCTATACACAATTTTTACTATAATGTCTTTATCTATACCAGTATGGTCTATTTGACTATCCCACTATTATAAACTTTCCTATATACATCCAACACGCATAGACCATTTTCACAAAAGCTGTCTTGAGAACTCTAGAACGCCAACCCTTATGACAACTCATCTGAGTCATCCAGTCCAATTCATGCTCCTAACCCTGAAGATTATGCCCCACAATAAGTCAAAGTAGCACCTTTTTCCATATAACCTGCATATCATTGCAAAGAAAAAACATGTGGTGTAAACTCTCCTTTTCACTACAAAAATCACAATCATCATATGTTATCATTTCAAATTTTCGAAGACGATATTTAGTGGCTAACTGCTTATAACACGCACTACAAGAAATATCATATCCAGTCACGTGATTATCATGTGGCAAAAAAAAGTCAATTGCGACGTGATAATCACGTGACAATATGTTTTATTAATAAAATAAAGAAGTTTGATGGTTGTCTGACTTTTTAAAAAAAAAAAAAATATTGCGATGTGGGATTCACGTCGCTACTAAAAATATAATAAAAAATATTTTAATTGGTCTAACGTTTAGATGAATGGATTTTTGAAATTTTGAAAAAGTAAGTTGCGACGTGTTATTCACGTCGCAACATTTAAGAGGGAAAAATCAAATTAATACATTTAAATGAAAGTCACGTGGCAACGTTGCAGCGTGATTTTCACGTCGCTAAATGCTTTATACATTTAATTGAATAACGTTCACCAACGAAGACAGTAGTTATCAAAATTCAAAACTCTTCTTCTTCATTTAACCCTCTTCTCATTCCATCCCTCCATTAAACCCTCTTCTTCTTCATAAAATCTCTTCTTCTCCAATATAAAATTCAACTTCAATCTCCATTAATCCTTGTTTTTAAAGGTAAATGAAATTTAATTTTGTCTCTATTTTGTTTACAGGTTTTTATTTATTGTATTATGGGATTGTAAGAATGTCTTTTAGCATTAACCATATTTTGAAAAGAAAATACACAAATAATCATGTTTCAGAAAAAATTACGTAAATAACTATGTTTCCAAAAAAAATGAGTTAAAGATGATGTGCCACTTAAACTGACGCCTCCTATATATTTTTCAAACTTTTTATTACCTGCGAATTTTCCTGCAGATTTGACGTTACCTGCGGACTTACCTGCGGATTTTCCTACGGAATTACCTGTGGGAAAATAGTCCGCAGGAAAAGTCAAATCTACAGGAAAATCCGTAGGTAAACAGAAAAATTGAAAAAAAAATTAGGAGATGGCTAGGCGCCATCACATTTGGCGCTTCCTTTAAAAAAAATCAATACATGCATCATCTGAGATGAATACTACATTATAATATTTTCTGAAACATGGTCATTTACGTAAATTTCTCTCAAATATAATTATTTGTGTATTTTTTTTTAAAATATGATTATTTCTAAAAATATTCTCATTTAGACATCACCCGATTCAAATAATATCACAAGGTTTAAGATTAATTATACCAGTTACAATATGATTGATTATGCACTATTGAGGTATAACATTTTGAATTAGATGTTTCATTAGTAGATTGTTCAGTTTAGTGAATCAAAATGGCCCAAAAATAATATTCTTCACATTTCTATATGAGTAGATTAAACTAATTAGTAGATTGAACTAACCTGTATTTTTTTTGCGAGTGATAATGTCATTTGCACTAAAAGATGAACATTAAGGAAAAATAAAGTTAGCAATAAAAGTTTGAGATGAATGACAATGACTATTGAAATCAATATATTCTCTGCCATAGATAAATTTAATATCTTAATTTTACAGTTCTGCACGTAGGTCCATGTTGAAATTC